TTTTTTGGGCGTTTTAAATCATGCATATTTACTGCACCAAAGTAGCGCAGCAATTACTGCTCTGATCACTCCGTGCCCCCCCTCCCAAATTACGCCTGTCAAGCAGGGATGATACCCAAACCGAAACGGTACCCGAGCCGTTACGACAACAGTTTGCACTTATGACTAAAACTCAAAACGTGTAGCACCTGGAAGCAAGGGAAGAGCTTTTCCTTGCTGTCCGAATTCCGCTTCCCTGAGTTTTGTTGATTTAGGCCCCCAAAACAACAAAACTCAGGGAAGCGGAATTTGGACTTGGCCTATATGGGAACAAAATTCCGGTACGCCTTGATCAACAAGGAAAAGCTGTTCCCTTAGTTCCAGGTGCAACACTTTTTGAGTTTTAATCATTAGTGCAAACTGTTGTCGTAACGGCCCTGGTATCGTCGTTTCGGTTTGGGCATCATCCCTGCTGCCAAGTAGCGGAATAGCCACTTGTGGAACGCTTTGCTTTCGTAGGCTACTTTCGTCCGTGGAAAAACTGAAAATCGAATTTAGTTTCTCGACGCTGCAACAGTGGTTGGACCCTAAACTGACCAAGTGCCTCTCCTTTGCAGGTCGAGTGCGCAACACCCAGTCCATTCAAGCAATACCCGGGAGGACCCAAGAAGCCGCCCATTCGCGTTAACATTCGTGGTGGTAATCCTGGCTAAACACACCTGCTGTGGAGCCCAGCCTACATTGCAAGGTTATGGGGGCACGGGGGGCACCGCTCCTGAACTAGGTATCTTTCCGAAGTCAATAAAGCGCTGAGAGACTCCTTCTAATTTTCCTGCATCTGTCAACAAGGACGATTCTGCCACCCTGTTCTTAAATGTAGGAAAACGAAACAATCTTCCCACGACAAGTTGTTTTTAAACAACTTGCAAAGAGGAAATCACTTGCGTAATAGTCGGGTCACCGATACCTTGTATAACGCGCATATTAATAGCGTTATAGCCAAAATTCTCACAATTTCCTGTCGTATGGGTCTGATTTGACCTTAATTCTCGATATTGGCAAACGTAATAAGACATCTTTAAGGGAAGGTGGGGTACAGTGGGACACCGGGTACATTGGCACACCTTCAATATGTCCAACTTCCGGTTATGTCAGGTTCTCCGGAAAATTGACCATAATAAAGCGTTATTTGTTCTACTGCTCTGCAAACTCAAGTGTGTGCCAGGCATGCACTTCTTGGTGCATGCCTGCAGGCTCACACTTCCTGATGCACGCCTGGCAGGCACACACTTGTTTTCTGCATGCCTGGCAGGCACACACTTGTCGTCGCTTATGCATGCATACAAGCACTTGTGTGCCTGAGGCATGCACCAGGAAGTGTGTGCCTGCCAGGCATGCAGAAAAGAAGTGTGTGCCTGCCAGGCATGCACCAGGAAGTGTGTGCCTGCCAGGCATGCAGAAAAGAAGTGTGTGCCTGCCAGGCATGCACCAGGAAGTGTGTGCCTCGCACTCACTTGAGTTTGCAGAGTGTTTTCACAACTCGGGAACAGAACTGGGCGCTTTCTGAATGAGAAACGTGGGTTGGTAGCTCGATTCTACGAAAAACTATGAAAAAGTAGCACGATTTTTGAAATTTGTTTTTTTTAGCATCTGAAATGAGGGATTATCGTTGTTGTTCGACTATCTTCATCTTTCAGAAGAGCTCTTCAGCTTCCACGACTCAAACCCTGCGAAATTGAATGTGATCAGAACATACCCACTCTCCCTGGCGTGACGTTTGTATTTCCGAAACTACCCCGGAAAGTAGCAATTTTTCAGTTTTGAACCCATATTAATCAACCTATTTGACCTAGGTGATTGAAAATTCGGCACAGCATGCTCTTAACTCTTTCGACATTTTCGGAATCGGCAGAGAGAATGCAACAAAATGCACATAATCTTACTTATGCATAACTTTTGCAAAATGGACATTTTGAAAAAAGTACGCTCTTACGGGGTGGTCAAAAACACCATTTTCGTCAAAATATCCATTTTGCAAAAGTTATGCAAAAGTTAGATGGCGAATTTTGTTGCACTCTCTCTGCCGATTCCGAGAATGTTCTGTGATTTTCAAACGGAGAAAAAGTGAAGGCGCTACAAGCTTTGAAAAACGGCATTTTTCGCAATTTTTCAAAACTTATAAGGCTGGTAGTGCCCTCAGTTTTACTCGTTTCTCAAAGCCCAGTACATATTCGGAATGAGCAGAAAAAATGCTACACAATGCGCCATCTAAGTTTTGAGATTTCGAAAAAAGTATTTTTTCGACCACCCCTAGCGAGGTTGCCTACCTCGTGGGTGCGAAAGTAAATTCGGTGGGTCCTATGAACAAAGACCGTTGTCCTTTAGGTCGCTCGAAAAAAGACCGATCTCCATTTCCTTACCTCTCAACGCGTTCGTTTTGAAGTCCCAGAACAATCTCTACGTCTTCATTCCACACAAATGAGTTTTACATAATCATTCTCTTATATGTTCGAAACAAAACCTGCAAACTATTACTTGAGTGGGATGTCTGTTGTGAGAACCACAAGGTAAAGAAGCGGTGAATCCACAAACGGCTGATATGGAGATCGGTCTTTAATCGAGCGACCCAAAAGACATCGGTCTTTGTTCCTAGGAACCATCGAATTGCTAAATACTGATT